TAAGGAGCTGGACTTCAGTTGATTTAAATAAAATAAAGAAATACTACATTTTTACCATCCCATTTGCTGCACTAAATTAATGTGGGGACCCCCAGCAGTATGGCAAAGACTGGCTGGGTGACGTATAGCTACAGAAGGCACTGATTACAGGTGCTGGGATTCAGGCCACTTCCTCCTGAGCCCGTGGCTGAGACTGTGCGGTGGAACCAGTGTAATGAGATGAGCGTAAACTCACGCTGACTAGGGAAAACAGGGAGTCTGTGATAAACTTAGGTTCGAAGGATACTCTAGAAAGCTTTAAAATCCCTGGACAAACCAGCCTGTCTTTCCGGGGTAACAAAATACAAATCACTTGTTTGTTGTGGTTATCTTGACTCTGTGAAAGTTAATTTAAAACAGGACAGCATCAATGAACACAAAACAAAAAATCCAATAAAACGATTGTTTCCAACATTGTCAAACTTGTGTAAATTAAAAACAAATAAACAAACCAACCCTGCACAGGTACAGGGTGATCGGAGAAGGAAGTGAGGATAATGGTAGCCTTGTTAGTTTGCTAAGATTAAAATCCTCTGTAATTCTTGGAAAATATCTAGAAAGATTTTAAGGTTTCTAAGTTAATTCTCTTTTTAAAAATTACAATTCTCCCTGGAGAAGGAGAGGCACACAGAAGCCAACAGACATGCTACCTAGGGAATGGGCCACGTGTCCAGGTAGCAGTAGCTATTCTGCCTGTGATGGACATGAATCTTCCCAGAAACTGAGGCATTTTCCATCATTTCCAATGATACTACCCCCAAGTGTCCTCCACCCCCTGAGGAGAGACATTTGAATCTTATTTAGGGAGCACCCTCAAGAAACTGCTGCTATTGCAGCACTAGAAAGCAAGAAATGGAGAAATGCATGATGATGTGACTCCCTCAGAGTCCCCTCTGCTTCCTGGATTGCTGCCTCCCTGGGCTTCCTGCCCTGCAGCCACACGGGCCTCCTGCAGTTTCCTCCCTCCTGCGGCCACTGCACCTGCTTCCCTCTGCTTCCTGCACGCTCTTCCCAGACTCAGTATAGCACATTCCTGCACCACCTTCAAACAGCACCTCCTCAGTAAGGCCTTCTCTATCTATCTCTGTAAAACTGCAGCCCTGACCACAGCCCCAGCTCTCCCTTCTGCACTTAGCACCATCTGACACACTACATATTTTACTTATTAATAGTTTATCATCTGCCTCTCCCCACTTGACAAGAAGTACTGAGTCTTTTGTTCCATGTTGTGACCTCAGTCCACATTGGGTGCCATATTAGTCCATTTTTGCGCTGATAGACATACCTGAGACTGGGAAGAAAAAGAGGTTTCATTGGACTTACAGTTCCAGATAGCAGAGAAGGCCTCAAAATCATGGCAGGAGGTGAAAGGCACTTCTTACATGGCAGTGGCAAGAAAAAATGAGGAAGAATCAAAAGTGGAAACCCTTGATAAACCCATCAGATCTCGTGAGACTTATTCGCTATCACGAGAATAGCACAGGAAAGACCAGCTCTCATGATTCAATTACCTCCCCCTGAGTACCTCCCACAACATGTGGGAATTCTGGGAGATAAAATTCAAGTTGAGATTTTGGTGGGGACACAGCCAAACCATGTCATTCCACCCTGGCACTCCAAATCTCATGTCCTCACATTTCAAAACCAATCATGCCTCCAACAGTACCCCAAAGTCTTAACTCATTTCATCATTAACCCAAAAGTCCACAGTCCAAAGTCTCATATGAGACAAAGCAAGTCCCTTCCACCTATGAGCCTGTAAAATCAAAATCAAGCAGTTACTTCCTAGATACAATGGGGGTACAGGTATTGGGTAAATACAGTCATTCCGAATGGGAGAAATTGGCCAAAAACAAGGAGGTACAGAGCCCATGGAAGTCTGAAATCCAGCAGGGCAGTCAAATTTTAAAGCTCCAAAATGATCTCCTTTGACTCCAGGTCTCACATCCAGGTTACACTGATGCAAGAGGTGGGTTCCCTTGATCTTGGGCAGCTTTGCCCCTGTGGCTTTGCAGGGTACAGCCTTTCTCCCGGTTGCTTTCATGGGCTGGTGTTGAGTGTCCGCAGCTTTTGCAGGTACACAGTGCAAGTTGTCTGTGGATCTACCATTCTGGGGTCTGGAGGATGGTGGCCCTCTTCTCACAGCTCCACTGGGCAGTGCCCTAGTAGGGACTCTGTGCGTGGGCTCCAACCCCACATTTCCTTCCCACACCACCCTAGCAGAGGTTCTCCATGAGGGTCCAGCCCCTCCAGCAAACTCTTGCCTGGGTATCCAGCTGTTTCCATACATCTTCTGAAATCTAAGTGAAGGTTCTCAAACCTCAGTGCTTGACATCTTTGCACCCACAGGCTCGACACCACATGGAAGCTGCCAAGGCTTGGGATTCCACCCTCTGAAGCCACAGCCCAGGCTGTACGTTGACTCTTTTCAGCCACAGCTAGGACACAGGGCACCAAGTCCCTAGGCTGCACACAGCACAGGGACCCTGGACCTGGCTCACAAAACCACTTTTTGCTCCTGGGCCTCCGAGGCTGTGATGGGAGGGGCTACCATGAAAGTCTCTGACATGGCCTGGAGACATTTTCTCCATGGTCTTGGGGATTAACATTAACTGCTCCTTGCTACCTATGCAAATTTCTACAGCCAGTTTGAATTTCTCCCCAGAAAATGGGTTTTTCTTTTCTGTCTCATAGTCAGACTATAAATTTTCCAAACTTTTATGCTCTGCTTCCCTTATAAAACTGAATGCCTTTAACAGTACCCAAGTCACCTCTTGAAGGCTTTGCTGCTTAGAAATTTCTTTGCCAGATACCCTAAATTCTCTCTCTCAAGTTCAAAGTTCCACAAATCTCTAGGGCAGGGGCAAAATGCCCCCAGTCTGTTTGCTAAAACATAACAAGAGTCACCTTTGCTCCAGTTCCCAAGAAGTTCCTCATCTCCATTCTAAATCACCTCAGCCTGGATTTGATTGTTCATATTGCTATCAGTATTTTGGGCAAAGCCATTCAACAAGTGTCTAGGAAGTTCAAAACTTTCCCACATTTTCTTGCCTTCTTCTGAGCCCTCCAATCTGTTCCAATCTCTGCCTGTTACCCAGTTCCAAAGTTACTTCCACAGTTTCAGGTATCTTTTCAGCAACGCCCCATTCTACGGTTACCAATTTAGTGTATTTTCATACCCAAGACTGAGCAATTTACAAAAAAAGGTGTAATTGGACTTACAGTTCCATGTAGCTGGGGAAGCCTCATAATCATGGTGGAAGGCAAGGAGGAGCAAGTCACATCTTACATGGATGGCAGCAGGAAAAGAGAGAGTTTGTGCAGGGAAACTCCTGTTTTTAAAACCATCAGATCTCATGAGACTCAATCACTATCATGAGAACAGTGCAGGAAAGACCCAACCCCATAATTCATTCACCTCCCACCAGTTCCTCCCACGATATGTAGGAATTGTGGGAGTTACAATGCAAAATGAGATTTGGATGGGGATAAAGCCAAGTCATAACAGGTGCCTAATAAATGCTCACTGCAAGAACAAATGAGTGAGTGAATGCTGGTAAATAAATGCTGAAGTGGCCTGGGGTTAGTGGCTGTGGCTGAGTGTCTGGGTATAGGGCTCTGGGGCCCACTGACAATCATCTTCATTTACACTGTGATCAGAGAGCTGGTCAGCTTGAACTTGAGCACAGTGGAAGGGGCTGGGCTGGGAGAACATCATAGGATGTGCTCTCCCAGAGAGTGGCCTAAATGAATTCAGACTGCTCCACGTGTCTCCCAGTGAGAGGATATGGCAAAGGAGGGTTGCTCCCTCCATAATATTGTTACTCTTTTGGTGCTGTTCTCGAAAAAGGACATTCCACAAGAACAAAAGGGCTGGTAAAGTTCCTATTGGGCGATGAGGAAGCCATGCCACACTTTTACAAATGCAACCTAATGTTAAGCTCAAAGTCAAAACACTGTAAAGTACAATCTCTGCTTGCATAAATTTATTCTCTTGACTAGGAGACAAGACTAATAGGCAAGAAACAAATATGGCAGCATTTTTCTAACAAAGGTTCCCTGAGAACAGAGGAGCAGATGTTGGCAATTGCACACAGAGCTGCCCTGTGCAGCTGTGGATAGGGACAGGTATGTGGGCAGGGAACTGCCAGTGTCGGCTACAGCCATCTTACCTGACAGGTAGTCAGGTAAGCGAGAAGCTTACAGAAATAACTGATAAGTTATTTCTGAAGCGTGGGTAGTATTGGAGTTGAAATGCAGAATTTCTCTGCAGTCTTTTTTTTTTTTTTTTTTTTGAGACGGAGTCTCACTCTGTCGCCCAGGCTGGAGTGCAGTGGCCGGATCTCAGCTCACTGCAAGCTCCGCCTCCCGGGTTTATGCCATTTTCCTGCCTCAGCCTCCCGAGTAGCTGGGACTACAGGCGCCCGCCACCTCGCCCGGCTAGTTTTTTGTATTTTTTTTAAGTAGAGACGGGGTTTCACCGTGTTAGCCAGGATGGTCTCGATCTCCTGACCTCGTGATCCGCCCGTCTCGGCCTCCCAAAGTGCTGGGACTACAGGGTTGAGCAACCGCATTCTGCAGTCTTATGTTTTAATTTTTAAGTCAAATTTTGCATTTGTAATCTGCATTATAAAATTTAAAAAAATTACTTACCAGTGAATTCAACTTAGAATTTTTTCCCCGCAATTTTAAGACAAACTGATACTCCACGGCAAGATGAGCCAGGCCAATCCTGTAGCTCTAGGTCCCCGTTGGTACTGTGAACCCCAGGGCTGTAACTCTAGTTGGTAAATGTGGAATTTTGATATCACAAAAAATATCATCTTGTGTCAAAATGCATCATACAGACAATATCTACAAAGGCTGCTCAGGAAGGGCCAAAATGTTTGGAAAGACTACATGGAGCCAGATGTAAAAAGCATGATTCAAACTGGTGCCAAACATCTAAGCTAGCTAAGCTGTAGGACACACTTTTTGCTTTATTTACAATTTTTTTTTTTAATTAGGAAACTGAGACTTAAGAATTTTCTCTAAAATAATAAAAACTGGAAAACAAGTAATTTTAGAAACAAATATATATTTTTGATAGAAACTGTAAGTAAATATTCAGTACTGTCAGAAATATACTATCTTCAACTCTCGGCTTTTTTCCAAAAGATACAGAATTATTTTTTGGAAAAGATACAAGATGTACAGACAAATCACATTCATACCTTACAAATGTTAAATAGGGAACAATTTAAATTCATAATGAACAATGAATATTTTCATATTTTCCAGAAGTTTGAAATTTCAAAAGTTAGCAAAATTATTCATTTCCATAATTTTTATGAGTAAAATTAGAAAGAGCTGATCATGTACCTTAATATTGTCACTTTATATATTACTCAAAAGTACAAATAACCCTTAAAGTAGAATCCCAGGCTTATCATATTATAAAAATACTAAGATATTTATCAAACATAACTAATATAAATGAAATTACATTTTTAAAAATGTTTCACAAACACCAGTCCATCTTTCTCTTTGGTTCAGAAAATAAAAGAGGTAGGTTCAAATAAAGAAAATGCCTATTACATCATTAGATTTTCATTAAAATGCTGGCAATTTATAACAGAAATTATTAGAAGTCAAATGAGTTTAAGAACTAAATTAAAAACTGATAATAACTTCAACTAGTAAATATTTTTCTATGTTCCAATCACACAAATAAGAAAAGATAGTTGACTACAAAAATGGTTTTAGTAAAATAAAAAAAAAATGCTCTCATTATTATAAATTAAGTCTCCTATATCATAACATGTTCCTAAAACTTGGGGCAAGAGAAAATATGAACGCATACGTTTACAAATTGGGCCTTTCATTTAAAAACAGGTATCTAATGTATAAGAGTAATACATACTACTATTAATATGTATCTCTCACCTTTATGCTGCCCAAATTGAGAACAGCAAGTTCAAAGATATTCAACAATGAGGGAGAAATAAGCACACCATTTGCTCACAATCAACCCACTTCATGCAATTAAAAAAGAAATTTCAGGTTACTAAGATTGGTCCCAAGAAGTCTTCCTGACTAAAATGGAATCTGATTCAAAATGTAGGAAACAAAGGACAAAGGAAAACAAAGATGCTCTTCAGAAGCTGATATAAGTCAAAGGATTTCAATTCTTGCTGCTTTTCAAAGCAATGGCAGAATAAACAGAATCTTTCAAATAAGTTGTCTTGTGTTGATAATTTAACAGTAATACACTGAAAATTAGTGTATAACTCCAGGAACCAAATAACGGTACATGTAAAATGGAAAAGTGCCCACTGAAATAAATATAATTTCATCACTTCTCTTTAGAAATTCTACCACTGTGTTCACTCCTATTCAGCTGAGAGAAAAATAAGGACATAAACCCTACACTTATTTGGATGCTTTTGCTGTAAGGTATATTTTTAATGTAATGATTTTCTATTAATGGTTCTTCTACAAGGAAATTTAAAGAAATCTATAAAGACATTCAAAATATATAAAACAAGACATTTAAGTATAAAGGAACTGGCATAAACATGAACCACCCAAAACAAAGATTAACGATTTATAACTCTACCACACAAAACAAATTTTGTTCAAGCAAGTACATTTTCAGATTTCGGATTCAGGGCAGAGATTTGCAGGATTATTAAGAAAAGACAAAGTAAAATTGTGTGGCCTTTTCAAAACACATTAAAACTATGATTTTTAACATTTCTGTGTACATATAATTGAGCCCAAAAGTTTGAAGTGACCATTGTTATTGTCTTCCCTTTTGTGAAAAAAATGCAGCTTCTTTTGCCATAGACTTGTTTCAATTCAAGGAGAAAAAGTCACTCCAGGGATTGTTGACAGTTTCAATTATCATGCTAAAGCAAAAAATGCAACATTATTTCTGGGTTACTCCTAAAGTTTGCTTCATATTTTCATAAACCACATAACTGATGCCTACAGCAGGGAGCACCTTCATGAAGTTTGGGGTGATGCCTCTGTAAAGTCCTGGTATTCCTTCTTTGGAAATGATTCGTCGAAAGAGGCCAACCATGTTCAGCTGTGGGGAGCCTTCTAACATGGCTAAAAAATAATAAAAGAAGAGAGTAATTTAATATTCAAGCAGGTTTCATTATTATTACAACAAACAATTATGATTCAGAATGATATTCTAGAATACAGTAAAAGGATAACATTTATTCCAAGGAGCCCAAGACAATATCCCTTTTATGATCCTCTTTGTATAGCACCTAACAGTGTGTGTCCTAACTATAAAAATGATGGTAATAATAGTTATTTATTAATTACTATGTTCTAAATACTGGGTTAATTACCTTCCATACCAATCCTGCAAGATAAATATTATATCAATTTTATAAGTGAGCAATTGGAGGCTTAGAAAGATGGAGAAATTTGTCCTAAAAATCCTAAGTAGAAAATGTTGGGGCTGAGATCCAATGGTCTGACTCCAAAGCTGGTATACTTTCCACCACCCCACACTGCTGCTATCTCCTTCTTACCAGACAAGCGCTGAAGAGAGAACAGGTAAATCCCAGGATGTAAGGGGAGTATGGAAGAAGCTCTGGGAAGCTTGGGGAAAGCACAAGGACCTGGGCCTTGGAAATGACCTCAACAAGCAACAAGAGAAAGCGAAATCCAGTGTTGCTGGCACAACCAAGACAATGGGAGGAGCACCATGTGCTATGGAGATGCACCTGATTGCCGTATGTGGTTATTACACAGATAGTGAATAAAGTAGGGCCAGATTATTAAAGGCTTTGAAATTCCCACTAAGAACTTTGGAACTGATACTGAAAGGCTGCAAAGATGTCTGAACAGATGTAAAATGATCAGACTTTGAGGTCAGAAATGACAATCTATCAGCCACAGACAATCTATCACCCATATCAGCCATGCAAAGGTCTGGATCGGAGCTGGCAGACAAGAGGGTTGGAATCAGACTGCATGTGTCTGATTTCCAGTCCCACTATTTACCACAGGTATAATCTTGTGGGAGTTACTTCATTTCTCTCTGCCCCAGCTGCTCATCTGAAAAATGGGGATAATATTAGTATTCCCATCCCCAAGATGGTTATGATGGTGAAATGAGAGAATACACAAGAAACGTGTAGTTCACTACTTTGTGTTTTTCTCTACAGCCATGACTGTCTCTCAGCTCCTCCAATACGCCATGTTGGTGCCTGCCTCAGTGTCTTCACACATGCTTTCCCTCAGCTGGAATGTTTTCTGCTCCCACTTCACTGGCCTGTGCCCACTCATCTTTCTAGTCTCAGCTTCACTGACAGCATTCTGCAGCTCCCAAGCTAGGTTATAGCTCCTTGCTCTGTGCTCCCCTAACAAATGGGGAGTTGGGTTAACCAGGTTGTTTACTTGCTGGACATACGTCTTCTCTACTCTACACTGGCGGGGCCACATCTGACTTGTTGACTGCTCTACCCCTAGCATCTGGCAGTGTCTAGAATGGGACAATGGCTCAGGGAGTATTTGCCAATTAATGACTGACTGGCTGGGGTTGCTGTGGCTGGCACTTGGAAGGGAGGTTGGGAATGGAGCTGTAGATGCCCAAGGTGTACTACTTAAGAAAACAATGGATAAGACTGACCAGGGAAAATATCAAAGAGAAAAGAAAGGCATTTGAATGCATACTTTAATAGACTTGGGATAGCAATAAAAGCAAGCAAATGGTAGCAGGGATCAATGGGCTGGCAGAACAACCAGGATGGTATAGTGTAATCAAAGCCAACCATGGAAACAGTGTCACAGTGAGGAGGAATCACAGATCAAAACTTGTAGGGTCCACACAACACTAAAAACTGATTCCAGCCACCGTTTACAAAGAATTTAACAAACCCAAGATGCTTTATTTATATTGTTGGTAATTCTCACAACACTGTACAATTTTCATTCCCATTAAAAACCCCAAGAAGTCTGAGGCAAGGATATGAACCCAAATCCATCAGATACCAAAGCTTATAATCTTAAAACGTGCATGTAACACAGTCAAAAAAATCTCACTCTGTTTATGTATAAGGCATATGTATGCACACAGTACATATGCAATGCTTCAGTCACATAAAAATTTCATGACGAGGGAGTATTCAGAAAAAGAATTTCTGAGAAGATTCCTTAAGGAGGCAATGATGAAAAAATGGTTGAGAAATACCGTCTTAAAACTATACTCTGCATCTTAGTAGAACTTGGAGTTCTAAAAGCATATTACTGGTGCAGCACTTTTATCAGTGTGGTTCTGTAATCAAAAATTCACCTTGAGCCTGCATGCGAGTTCTCACCAAAGCCAATGGGTAGCTGGCCAGCTGACCACAGGTGCTGGATAAGGCACCGCATCCCAGCAACACCATGACTCCAGGGTTCACAGAGTCTTTTGCAAAATTATCCAGCCAATAGGACTTCAAGAGCTGCCAGAGAAATAAAGAAGAAAAATAATTAACGAACTCTACAACTTCACTCAATGCAAACATTTTCACAGCTATTCTCAGCCTCATGACAAGCCCCATTTCTGCAGGATGGGGCCACACATTTGTAGAAGCTGCAGGCACTGTAGGAGGCAGCAGCTCTGTAGAGAGGTGGGAGGCCACTAGGGATGCAGAACACATGAGCTTTACACTGGTTACTCACATTCTTCTAAACAAACGTGAACTGCGTACCAAACGCTGCAGGATCTAAAGAACACCTCTTATGGTGAGTATTAATAAAACAATATAATTCTACTAATTGTATCTCATTTTACACTTTACATATATTTCATTTGGGCCTTACAAAAACTCTGACATAAATCTATTATTCTGATTTTATTCTGATTTATTCTGAAATGAGGAAAATTCATCTCAGCAGAGTTTTTGTTTGTTTTTTTGAGACGGAGTCTCACTCTTGTCACTCAGGCTGTAGTGCAGTGGCCCAATCTCAGCTCACTGCAACCTCTGCCTCCTAGGTTCAAGCGATTCTTCTGCCTCAGCCTCCTGAGTAGCTTGGATTACAGGCGTCCACCACCACACCCAGTTAATTTTTGTACTGTTAGTAGAGACAGGGTTTCACCATGTTGGCCAGGCTGATCTCAAACTCCTGACCTCAGGTGATCCGCCCGCCTTGGCCCCCCAAAGTGCTGAGACTATAGGCGTGAGCCACCACACCAGGCCCAGAGTTTTTAAAGAAGGACTCAGAACCAGGCGTGCTAATCAAAAGGCCATACTTTATCCCCTATTACTCGAGATCTCTGTATTTCATTAGAAGTCAATAATTAGGAGAAACTGCATAAAATATATATGATAATCAACTTTTAAAACATAAGCTATTTTAAATATAAAATACATGTTAATTGTTATATAACTAGTTTAATTTTTTTAATCCTGTAAGATTAAAAATTTTAAATCCTACAGGATTAAAAAATTATCTCAATTGATTAAAAAAATCCATTGAGTGCATTTCTCAAGGGAAATCTTGCAGGTTAGAAGGAAATGGAATGTTATATTCTATGTTTTGAAACTTAAAAAAACTGCCAAACAAAAATATTGTATGGGCAAAACTGTCCTTCAAAAAATGAGAAATTAAGACTGTCCCTGACAAAAGCTGATACAGCTTATCACGACTAGACCAGCCCTACAAGAAAGGCTAAAAGGAGAAACAAAAGGATGATAAATAACACAAAACCATATGAAAACATGAAACTCTATGGTAAAGGTCAATATTTAGAATATTATAAAATCCTATAGTGTTGTAATGAAGGTATATAAATAACTTTAAAATCTATTTCAAAAAAAATTTAAACAGAATTTAAAGAAGAAAAGCAAAAAAAGTAACTATAAATCTATGTTAAGGATATACAATATCAAAAGACATAAAGTTAGTGGGGAGGAGGTGAAAGATGTAAAGAAACAGAGTTTTCTATACCACTGAAGTTAAGTTGTAAACAGTTTAAAATAAGTTGCTATAACTTTAGTATGTTTTATGTAGTTGCAATGGTAACCACAAAAATAGCATCTACAGAATGCACACAAAGGGAAAAGAGAAGGGAATCAAAACATATCACTACAAAAAAAGAAAAAAAAATTCAACAAAACACAAAAGAAGCCAAGAAGAGAGGAAAGGAAAGAAATAAAAGCTACAGGACAAAGACAAAAGGCAGCTGGCCAAATGACAACAGTAAGTCCTTCCCTATCACTAACTGCTTTAAACGTAAATGGATTAAATCCCCCAATTAAAAGATACAAATTGCTGAGTGAATAACACATACAGAATCAACTATACCTTATCTATGAGACTCACTTTAGATCTAAGGACACACATAAGCTGAAAGTGAAAGGATGGAAAAAGATATTCCATAAAAACGGGAACCCAAAGAGAGCAGGGTGGCCATAATTACATCTGACAAAATAGACTTTAAGACAAACTGTCACAAGAGACAAAGATGGACATTACATCATGATAAATGGGTCATGTTACCAGGAAGAAATAATAATTATAACTATATATGGACCGAATATTACATTCCTACATATATGAAGCAAACATTTATAGAACTGAAGGGAGGAATAAACAGCAACACAGTAATAGTAGGAGACTTCACAACCCCACTTAATGGTATTGGGGAGGACACGGACAAATTGGAATCTTGGTGTACATTGATAGAAATGTTAAAAAACAAAAAGGTCTAGTCACTGTGGAAAATGACATGGAGGTTCCTCAAAAACTTAAAAATAGAATTACCGGCCGGGCGCGGTGGCTCAAGCCTGTAATCCCAGCACTTTGGGAGGCCGAGGCGGGCGGATCACTAGGTCAGGAGATCGAGACCATCCTGGCTAACACAGTGAAACCCCGTCTCTACTAAAAAATACAAAAAAAATAGCCGGGCGAGGTGGTGGGCGCCTGTAGTCCCAGCTACTCGGGAGGCTGAGGCAGGAGAATGGCGAAAACCCGGGAGGCGGAGCTTGCAGTGAGCTGAGATCCGGCCACTGCACTCCAGCCTGGGCGACAGAGCGAGACTCCGTCTCAAAAAAAAAAAAAAAAAAAAAAAAAAATAGAATTACCATCTGACCCAGAAATTCCACTTCGGAGTATATGTCAAAAAGAACTGAAAACAGTATCTTGAAGAAATATTTGCACAACCATGTTCACTGCAGCACTATTCACAATAGCCAAGATGTAGAAACAACCCAAATGTCCATCAACAGATAAATAAAGAAAATGTGATATATATATACCCAATATTATCCAACCTCAAAACCAAAAAATATTATCCAACCTCAAAACCAAAAAAATCCTGTCATATGCTATTGCTATCACATGGATGAATCTTGAGGAAATTATGTTACGTGAAATAAGCCAGTCACAGAAACAGAAATGCCACATGATTTCACTTACACAAGGTATTTAATGTAGTCAAACTCATAAAACGAGAAAGTAGGTTACACAGCGCTGGGGTGAAGGGGAAATTGGGAGCTGTTGTTTAATGACTATAGAGTTTAAGTTTTGCTAGGTGAAAAAATTCTACAGATCTGTTGCACAACAAACCACAAACAGTTAACACTTACTGTACCATATATCTAAAAATAGTTAAAATTGTAAACTTTGTTATGTGTTTTTAATCATAATTTTTTTTAAAAACTCAGCACAAGAAGTCCTAAACCATGATACCACCTCACACCTAAGAGGATGGCTATAATAAAAATAAGCTTTTTAAAAATGGAAATTAAGTGTTAGTAAGGACGTGGAAAAACTGGAACTTTTGTATGTTGCTGGTGAGAATGTAAATGGTGCCGCCACTGTGGAAAACAGTCTGATAGTTCCTAAAAGCTGAACACAGAATGACCACATGACTCAGAAATTCCATTCCAAGATATATACCGAAAGGAACTGAAGGCATAGACTCGAACAGATATGCAGATGCCAATGTTCACTGCAGCATGATTCACAATATTGAAAAAGTAGAAACAATCTAAATGTTCTTCAGATGAAGGACTAAACAAAATGTGATATATACACATAACGGAATATTACTCAGCCATGAAAAGAAACGAAGTTCTGATACATGCTACAACATGAACAAACCTTAAAGACATTATGCTGAGAGTAATAAATCAGACACAAAAAGAAAAATACTGTATGATTCTACTTATAAGATATCTTGAGTGCGGAAATTCCTAGACATAGAAAGCAGATTAGAGGTTATCAAAGGTTTGAGTTAGGGAGGGTAGGAAGTTATTGCTTAAAGCTTAAGGTGTTTCTGTTTGGAGTGAGGAAAAGGATTTGGAAATAGATAGTGTTGATGGTTGCACAATATTGTGAATGTAATTAACGCCACTGAATTGTATACTTACAATGAGTAAAATGGTAAATTTTACGTTTTATCGTAATTTTTAAAAATTATGTAAGAAGCCAGATGCAGTGGTTCACGCCTGTAATCCCAGCACTTTGGGAGGCCGAGGTGGGCGGATCACGAGGTCAGGAGATCAAGACCATCCTGGCTAACGCGGTGAAACTCCATCTCTACTAAAAGTACAAAAAACTGGCTGGGCGTGGTGGCGGGCGCCTGTAGTCCCAGCTACTCGAGAGGCTGAGGCAGGAGAATGGTGTGAACCCAGGAGACGGAGCTTGTAGTGAGCCGAGATCACGCCATTGCACTCCAGCCTGGGCAACAGAGCAAGACTCCGTCTCAAAAAAAAAAAAAAATATGTAAGAGGCCAAAAACGATTTGCTTGTATACTTCAAATAAGTGAAATGTAAGGAATATGAAGTAAATCTCAATAAAGCTCTTAAAAAAAAAAAAAGTCGAGTCTTCTTTTCATTATACATTACACTCTTCCTCTATGCTGTAGCTTAGGTCCCATCCTAACATGCACCCTGGCTCATGTCTACCGCAGCACAGCTAACCACACTAGGTTTTAGTTGTTTGTTTGTCTCCCCCACCAGACCTTCAGTTTCTTCAAGGCACACACTGAGTCCTTTGAATCCCCAGATCCAGTGTCTAACCCAGAGGTTTGTATAGTGTGTGCTCAATAAATGTTTGTGAGATTCATAAATTATTAAATGATTTAGATTACAGGGTTGATCCAAGATTTGTATTCTTCAGTACAAGAAATGAAACTGTATTACTCACGTTAGTCACATTAATCACTTGGCTTAATGTCAGATTTTTGCAAATCCAAAACAAAGGAATTTATTGGCTTTTTTTGTCTTCCCTGAAAACAATCTCTACACCCACCTTTTAAGGTGAACAACTATACCTAACTTTGAGTCTACTCTTCATTAATAAAAGCAATTGCCAAGAAAATCTAATACAAAAGTGGCCCTATGTACATTCACACTCAAGTTACTTGAAAGTTCAAATAACATATACTTGAATTTACTTCTGGTCACAAACTGTTTTATGGTATATGTCTACTTCACATAAAGTACAATTCTAACAAGAGCTATTTAACTGCATTTTCAGATTCAAAAGATTTCTATAAACTCACCTCATACACAGCAAGATCTATGCCTGCATAAGGTATGATACCTAATAAATTGGGAACATAACCTTTGTAAAAAGCTCCCAAGCCTTCATGTTTCAAAATCTTCTTGGCACAATCATATATTCCAGAGTATTGCCCAGTTTTGCCTACAGCCAGCCTGGTTTTCATAACCTGGATATAAAAAAAATAACAAAATATTATTGTTCATATTAACTCTATCATCACAGAATTCAAACGAAGTAATTTTACACGGATCAAATACCTAGCACATATTGTCACTCAAAAGACTGTACAGTTTGTTGATACATTCTCCTTCATGTATTACCTCTATTGAGGGGCTAAGACCACAGGCAGAGACACCCGTTTACTGCAAGGAGGATCTGGTGAAGGAAGTGACCAAGGAAATGGAGGCAAGATAATCTGTTGATGCCTTAACAAAACTGACCAGTGACCACCTGCGTCTGGAAGGTGAGGGAAATGGTAGTATAAAGGATAACCCCAGTGTTTCTAGCTTGGAACACAGGATGGGGCAGTGGGGAGTTGGGAAGGTGATACTATTAATTGATATGGAAGATATAAGGGGAAAAATAGGTATTAAGATTTTTGTTGAGAGGTGTGCGGAGTAATATAAACAATCATATTAAGATCCTTGGAAAAAAAGCTATATTAGCATGCATACCACATATCGGTGAAAATCGTGTTTATCTTGCTTAAGTCTTATCAGTTACTAAAAAACCCTCTGCTATATCAGTAAATTCCACATCTACAATATTATTTTTTTGCTATAAAGCAGTAGTTGGAAAACTTTTCCTGTAAAGACTAAATAGTAAAATATTTGTCATTGCAAGCGTAAAATATTAGGTCTCGGTTGTACATTCTTTTTGTTTTCTTTTGTTTTTGCCTGCTTTCTAAAAATTATACTTTAAGTTCTGGGATACATGTGCAGAACGTGCAGGTTTGTTACAGAAGTGTACATGTGCCATGGTGGTTTGCTGCACCCATCAACCCGTCATCTACATTAGGTATTTCTCCTAATACTATCCCTCCCCTAGGCCCCCACTCCCAACAGGCCCCAGTGTGTAATGTTCCCCTCCCTGTCTCCACGTGTTCTCATTGTTCAGCTCCCAGTTACAAGTGAGTACGTGTGGTGTTTGGATTTCTGTTCCTGTGTTAGTTTGCTGAGAATGATGGCTTCCAGCTTCATCCATGTCCCTACAAAGGCCATGAACTCATCCTTTTTTTACGGCTGCATAGTATTCCATGGTGTATATGTGCCACATTTTCTTTATCTAGTGTATCATTGATGGGCATTGGGTTGGTTCCAAGTCTTTGCTATCATGAATAGTGCTGCAATAAACATACGTGTGCACGTCTTTACAGTAGAATAATTTATGATTCTTTGAATATATAACCAGTAATGGGATTGCTGGGTCAAATGGTATTTCTGGTTCTAGATCCTTGAGGAATTGCCACACTGTCTTCCACAATGATTGAACTAATTTACACTCCCACCAACAGTGTAAAAGCATTCCTATTTCTCCCTATCTTTGCCAGCATCTGTTGTTTCCTGACTTTTTAACTAACTGGTGTGAGATGGTATGTCATTGTGGTTTTTGATTTGCATTTATCTAACAACCAGGGATGATGAGCCTTTTCTCATATGTTTGTTGGCTGCATAGAGGTCTTCTTATGAGAAGTGTCTGTTCATATCCTTCACCCACTTTTTGATGGGGTTTTTTTTTTTCTTGTAAATTTGTTTAAGTTCCTTATAGATTCTGGATATTAGCCCTCTGTCAGATGGATAGATTGCAAAATTTTTCTCCCATTCTGTAGGTTGCTGGTTCACTCTGATGATAGTTTCTTTTGCTGTGCACAAGATATTTAGTTTAATTAGATCCCATTTGTCAACTTTTGCTTTTGTTGCCATTGCTTTTTGTGATTTAGTCAAAAAGTCTTTATCCATGCCTATGTCCTGAATGGTATTGCCTAGGTTTTTTTCTAGGGTTTTTTATAGTTTTAGGTCTTATGTTTAAGACTTTAATCCATCTTGAGTTAATTTTTGTATAAGGTGTAAGGAAGGGGTCCAGTTTCAGTTTTCTGCATATGGCTAGCCAGTTTTCCCAACACCATTTATTAAATAAGGAATCCTTTCCCTATTGTTTTTGTCAAAGATCAGATGGTTGTAGATGTGTGGCATTATTTCTGAGGCCTCTGTTCTGTTCCATTGGTCTATATATCTGTTTTGGTACCAGTACCATGTTGTTTTGGTTACTGTAGCCTTGTAGTATGCTTGAAGTCAGGTAGCGTGATGCCTCCAGCTTCGTTCTTTCTGCTTAGGATTGTCTTGGCTATATGGGCTCTTTTCTGGTTTCATATAAAATTTAAAGTAGTTTTTTCTAATTCTGTGAAGAAAGTCAGTGTTAGCTTGATGGGGATATCATTGAATCTATAAATGTCTTTGGGCAGTATGGCCATTTTCATGATATTGATTCTTCCTATCCATGAGCATGGAATGTTTTTCCATTTGTTTGTGTTCTCTCTTATTTCCTTGAGCAGTGGTTTGTAGTTCTCCTTGAATAGGTGCTTCACATCCCTTGTAAGCTGTATTCTGAGGTATTTTATTCTCTTTGTAGCAACTGTGAATGGTAGTTCACTTGTGATTTGGGTGTTTGTCTATCATTGTTGTATAGCAATGCTTGTTATTTTTTCACATTGATTCTGTACCCTCAGACTTTGCTTGAAGTTGCTTATCAGCTTAAGGAGATTTGGGGCTGAGATGAGGAGGTTTTCTAAATATACAATTATGTCATCTGCAAAGAGAGACAATTTGACTTTCTCTCTTCCTATTTGAATACCTTCTATTTCTTTCTCCTGCCTGATTGCCCTGGCCAGAACTTCCAATACTATGTTGAATAGGAGTAGTGAGAGAGGACATCCTTGTCTTGTGCCGCTTTTCAAAGGGAATGCTTCCAGCTTTTGCCCATTCAGTATGATATTGCCTGTGGGTTTGTCATAAATAGCTTTCATTATTTTGTTATACATTCCATCAACATCTAGTTTATTGAGAGTTTTTAGCATAAAGAGGTGTTGAATTTTATTGAAGGCCTTTTCTGCATCTATTGAGATAATCATGTGGTTTTTGTCACTGGTTCTGTTTATTGATGAATTCTGTTATATTGATTTGCATGTTGAACCATCCTTGCATCCCAGGGATGAAGCTGACTTGATAGTGGTGAATAAGCTTTTTGATGTGCTGCTGAATTCAGTTTGCTGGTATTTTATTGAGGATTTTTACATTGATGTTCATCAGGGATATTGGCCTGAAAATTTTTTTTTTTTTTTTTTTGAGACGGAGTCTCGCTTTGTCACCTAGGCTGGAGTGCAGTGGTACCATCTCAGCTCACTGCAAGCTCCGCCTCCTGGGTTCATGCCATTCTCCTGCCTCAGCCTCCGAGTAGCTGGGACTACAGGCACACACCACCACGCCCGGCTAATTTTTTGTATTTTTAGTAGAGATGGGGTTTCACCGTGTTAGCCAGGATGGTCTCGATCTCCTGACCTCGTGATCCGCCCGCCTTGGCCTCCCAAAGTGCTGGGATTACAGGCGTGAGCCACCGCGCCCGGTGAAAATTTCTTCTTTGGTTGTGTCTCTGCCAGGTTTTGGTATCAGAATGATGCTGCCCTCATAAAATGAGTTAGGGAGGAGTCCCTCTTTTTCTATTGTTTGGAATAATTTCAGAAGGAATGGTATCAGCTCCTCTTTGTGCCTCTGGTAGAATTCGGCTGTGAATGTGTCTGGTCCTGGGCTCTTTTTGGTTGATAGGCTATTAATTACTGCTTCAATTTCAGAACATGTTATTGGTCTATGCAGGGATTCTGTTTCTTTCTGGTTTAGTCTTGGGAGGGTGTACGTGTCCAGGAATTTATCCATTTCTTCTAGATTTTCTAGTTTATTTGCAGAGAGGTGTTTATAGTATTCTCTGACGTTAGTTTGTATGGGCTCAGTGGTGATATCCCCTTTATCATTTTTATTGTGTCCATTTGATTCTCCTCTCTTTTCTTCTTTATTATTTTGGCTAGTGGTCTATCTATTTTGTTAATCTTTTCATAAAACCAGCTCCTGGATTAATTGATTTCTTGAAGGGTTTTTTGTGTCTCTATCTCCTTCAGTTCTGCTCTGATCTTAGTTATTTCTTGTCTTCTGCTGTCTTTTGAATTTGTTTGCTCTTGCTTCTCTAGTTCTTTTAATTGTGATTTTAGCATGTCAACTTTAGATCTTTCTCGCTTTATCCTGTGTTGCACACTTTTTAAAATGTAAAAAACCACTGTCCTTGAGCATTCTTAGCTCAAGGACTGTACAAAACAGCCCGTAGGTCTGTGTTTTGCCAACCTATGCAATAATGAAAGGATGTCTAATTAGGATACCACCATATAATCAAATCCTGAGATTCCATTATTACATTTATCACACAGAAACTCTTTGGACAGGAGTGAGAATTATACTTCTCACCAACACAGTGTCAGCCAGCCTCTAATGTGACCCCCAATGATATTTGTCTCCTGGTATTCACATCATTATACCATCCCCTCCCACACTCTACCAGGGTTGGTCTGTATGATCAACAGAATACAGCAGAAAAGGCAAAAGATACCAGCTTTCATCTTGGGCACTCTCTCCCTTTCTTTCTGTTGGATCACTGACTATAGAGAAGCCAGCTACTGTGTTCTGAGGATACTCAGGCAGTCTACAGAAAGGCTCATGTGGTAAGGAACTGATGTTTCCAGCCCATAGCCAGTGAGGCCTGGCAGCAACCACATGAATGAGCTTGGAATCCGCCCCCAGCCGAGCCTCCAGGTGACTGCAGCACTGACTACCATCTTGACTATGGGCTGTGAAAAACCCTGAGCCAGAGGCACCCAGCTAAGCTGCTCCCAGATTCCTGACCCATAGAAACTCCGCAATGATAAATACTTGTTTTAAACTGTTGATTTTGGGATAACTTGTTAGAGAGCAATAGACAACCAACACGAACACCATCACACAGTCAGACTTCACAATGGTACTCACCTCCATTGGATATATAAAAGTCTGTGCAGTTGCTCCAGCCATGGAACCAGAAATAAATCTCTCAAATGTTCCGATTTTTTGTCCTTCTTCAGTAAGTAACTTCTTGTACTGTATAAATAAGTTTTAAAATGCACATTACTACCTGCCGTGGACTGAGCTGCGCCCCCACCAAACTCATATGTTGAAGCCGTAACCTCCCATGTGATGGCGTTAGGAGATGAGGCTTCTGGATTAGGGTTATGAGGTCATGAGGATGGAGCCCTCATGAAAGGATCAGTGTTCTTGTAAGAGCAGACACCAGAGGGCTCACTCTCTCTCTCCCTCCCCTCACATGTGCACCAAAAAAGACCATGTGAGCACACACCAGCTGTCTATAAGCTGGAAAGAAAACCTCACTAGAAATCAAACTGGTTTGGCCCTTGATCTTAGGCATTCTAGCTTCCGAAACTGTGAGAAATGAATTTCCTCTGTTGATTCCACACACTCTGTGATATTTTATGGCAGCCCACGCCAACTAGACAATCCTAGAATACCAATCAGCTCCTAGAAATCAATAAATTGACAAATGTGATGATGTGTCTTGAAATGTATATACTACATTAATAATACGTAGCAGAAGAGTAAGGCCTAAATGCTACTACACGCAGTTACTGGACAGTGGTTTTCAAGTCAGATTTCTATGGAATACAGATATCTCCCAGGTTGGACCAAGTTGAAGGACCAAGTCCTTTGCTGAAACAGCATAACAGCATTCTTCCCCAGACGTACAGAAAATACAAGGTTAATCAAGTTTTCACAGTGTTTGGATAGTTTCCCCACAGTTTTTAAAAGATGAGTTTATTTCCACCAGCACAAATAAAACGAATAAATAGGTGACAAACACATATTAACACAACAATTTATAAAAACAATTTTTGCAGGTAATACATAGAATTATACTAACCTATCAAGCCCAGCATCTCCCTGGCTATCAGTACTAAAGTGACCCAACATAGCTAACTGGACCAAGGGTGGAAATATGACCCCAATACAGCCAAAATAGTGACTGGCCAGGATATTAATATCATGGGATTGAGAGTCAGGCAGACCTGGGCTGGAACCCAGGCTAGACTGCAATGGTGTGATCTCAGCTCACTGCAACCTCTGCCTCTCGAGCTCAAGTGATCCTCCCACCTCAGCCTCCAGAGTACAGGCACACACCCCCAAGCCCAACTAATTTTTATATTTTTTGTAGAAATGGGGTTTTGCCATGTTGCCCAGGCTGGTCTTGAACTCCTGGGCTCAAGCAAACTACCTCTCAAAGTGCTGGGATTAGAGGCGTGAGCCACCACGCCCAGCTTCCCTTCATCTTAATGGCTTGAGATTGAGGCAAATTGAGCTCAAATTCCAGTCCGGCAGTTCTGTCTTTTCATTCACTTAATAAGAGTTTCCTGGCACTGGGCAAGGTGCTAGGAATACAAGTAGCTACTACCTAAGGAAGCTCACAGTCTCACCAAGAAGGTAAGTGCAGAGAACATCAGAATTCAGTGTGAAATAACAAAAGGAAATTAAAACAGAAACATTCCCAGAGGAACTAACTCCTGAGTAAGGTACTAAAGGACATTCCCCACCATATGACATATAGAAAGAGGAAGGGTGTGTGTGTGTTGCTGAAGCAGGGTCAGGAGACAGGGAGTAGCAGAAAGATGATGTGCATGGTGGGTACGTTGAGTGTGAGGCACTCCTGGGACATGCAAGCAGAGACGCTGAGACACACAGTACACAGGTAGATCTACGGTGTTGAGATAAAGAGAAAGATATTGGAGTGGAATGCAGTCAGTACAGAGATGGCAGCTGAAACCATGAGAACACTATCCCACACTACCACGCTGTCAATGATACAATGACACTACTATGGTAATGACAACCCATAGAGAACACAGCTTTACCCCAAACTGATGATGTGTTTGACAGAGCTACACACCAGGTTGAAAAGATCTTTTTCTTAGTTTCCTGAAGTACTAGCTATTCAATGAACAAAACCTATCTGAATCTAAAAGTGAGCTAGTTACATACTCTGGGAAATTTGAGAATATATACAGCCTATTTACCCTGAAGTAATTTAGAACCCATGGAGAAAACAATGGGTTTTCCATCATCCAATGAAAAATGGGATATTCTGCAATTCAGCACTCAAGGGAGGCTAGACAGGGGAGGAACTGGTTTTGGCTGAGATGCTTAGGATATGCTTCTCACAGGAAGGCGGCTTTTAGAGAGCCCCGAGGGATGAATGGACCTTCAGCAGGACAGGAGAAAGCGGCACCATAGGCCCAGAGCCCATAAGAACACTACACTACACTGTGTAGACAGCTTTCTCTTGATGTCTAAGAAAGTTAGTGTGCAGAAATCACAATACTATAAAGAGGTCTTAGGAAGGAGCTTGGGTGGACAGAAGCAGAGGATGCCTGCTGGTGGTATCCAAGGTAAGAATCTGACAAATGACATAAAGTAAAATATGCATATTTGTTTGTAATAGCCATGGACTTTCAAAAATACTAAACTTCTTGCATACTGAAATAACTGCATTGGGTATTTGTTTATTTTAGGCTCTGGCTTTCCTGTCATAAAATCCAAGTATGAAGTCAGAATAACCTAAGGGTATCTCAAACATTAGCCCTTAATAATCATGATTTGAATCTTCAAACCTTCACATAAGGAAAATAACCCTCCCAAGGATACGTTCTCATTAAAATCCTGGAGACTAGATTCTTTTTTTTTTTTTTTTTTGCTTCTCTATTTCCTAGGCAAAGAAAAAGGATACCATAATCTTCTCAAGAGTATTCTGTTGCTCAAGAACAAAACACTCTCCAGAAGAATCTAAAATCTACATGGAATAATACAAAAACTATGGGGGTGGGGAGTTGAATTTCAAGGCCCTTACAGTCCTTGATAAACAACGATGGAATAAATAATGGAAAAAGTAATCTGTGGCTGCTCAACTAGACAGTTCTGCCAACGACCATAAAGAGAACCCAAACTCTAAAACTTACCTCTGTACTTCCCCTTTACATTGAGTTAGGCTGAAGCAATAGCTCAAAAAATCCAAGTTAACAAAAGTCAACAGAGAAGTGATTCAGAGGTAAATGGCTTTGTTCAGTCATTCATTCTTTCAACACTCACTTGGCACTTATCACATGCCAAGCTCTGTCTAGGTGCTGGAGTACATGGGGAAGAAGCCATGCCCCTGCCTTCATGGAGCTGTCACTCCAAACTCAGCTCAATTTTACAGCAATGTCAAATTACACGAAGGACTTCAACTTGTAAGTTTTCCTTCCACAGGTTAGATTGTGACACTTTCATAAAACTTATGTGCTGCTTCTGCTCAGAATTCAGAATGAATAAACTAAAATTCTACCCTTCCTTTAAGAACTACTTAGAAAAAAAAACTTTCTTTATAAATAATATGATAAATTAAGAATCCCGTAACTTGGTCATGAGAAATGTCTGATTTTATTTAGTCTAATCTATAAGTGATACTTCTTATGGAGTATACATGAAAGATTATTGTGTATTAAAACAAGAATCCCAAAAGCATTATACATTAACCTTTATTGAATCCGTTTACTAACTCCTCTTTCTTAATAAATTCCATAGGTGATAAAAATTACCTGTTCATATGCCCAGAACTTAACAGCTGTCTCAGGAGCAATTTTGATGACGTTTGTACCATTTCCCCTCCAAAGGGAGCGGATCCCTCCCTCTTTTACCATCTGTCGAAAGCCACCAAATATGTTCATTTTGTCTGATTTTGAACCATGAACCTAAAAATAAAAGCAGAATGATATAAAATGCTGCTGGCATATTACTGTTACTTTTTCTAAAGCAACCATACAATCTTTTTCAATACTGTTTCCAACTGCAAGAAGATATATTTGAAAATAAAATAAAGAAAGGTTGAAAAAATAAATTATACATAATGATGGGAGGGAGTATTGCCATGATTTTAGACGCCTGTCTCTGACTCTAAAACTAAGAATAATTGGTATCTTCGGTGTGAGAAAGCAGAGAGAGAAGACAAGAAGAATATTAAAATTATGAACAACCTTCATAAGATAATATTAACTAAATTATGTATCAGGCAATGGAACACCCTTTGAAACACGAACAAGCTCAGTTAAAGAGAAATAAAAAAGTATACTGCAGGTAATAATATTATATTATTATATTATATTATATATACTGCAGGTAATACTGTTTATATTCTTAAGGACAGAGAGTAGTATCTTACTGCAGTCCTCAAGAAGTAGTAAGACATGAACTGTAAATGGGTCTGAAATGGTTTGGATATTGTGTATATCAGGGTTACAAACACTGAAACGCATACAGCCTGAAACCAAAAATAAAAATTGTACCTTCTTTGGCATTTGAGGCCTATCTAGGCAATAAATTCATTACAACATGTACCCATCCTGTGAATACTGATAAATTACTTGGCTTATACTACAGATGTGGTAGTCATTTAAAAATACTATACCTTGGCCGGGCGCGGTGGCTCAAGCCTGTAATCCCAGCACTTTGGGAGGCCGAGACGGGCGGATCACGAGGTCAGGAGATCGAGACCATCCTGGCTAACACGGTGAAACCCCATCTCTACTAAAATATAAAAAAAATTAGCCGGGCGAGGTGGCAGGCGCCTGTACTCCCAGCTACTCGGGAGGCTGAGGCAGGAGAATGGCGTGAACTCGGGAGGCGGGGCTTGCAGTGAGCTGAGATCTGGCCACTGCACTCCAGCCTGGGCAACAGAGCCAGACTCCGTCTCAAAAAAAAAAAAAAAAATACTATACCTTATGACCACCTACAGAAAAAACTGATTAAATCCAAAACACCAAAAATAATTAAACAAATCAGACATTCTTCTGATTGTTTCAGCTCACATAAAAGGGGTGATTACCACTAAACAGACACACACACTCACACACTCACACACGCACTCACAGAAGCGGGTGAATTCTGAAGGCCAGCCATGTGGCCAGTATGAAAACGGGGCCCAATAAGAACTCTGCACACCAAAGGCTCAGGTGAGCTTCCCTGGTTGGTCTGCAATATTCCGTGCCTAGTGTCACACAACAGTGCCAGGAAAGAAAGACACGGAGATTCCACAGGGAGAGGACAACAGAAGCTCTGCCCTATGAGCTTCCTTACTTGACTGATTTTCATCCGTATCTTTTCCCTGTAATAAACCATAACCAGGGATAATAAGCTTTCAGTGAGTTATGTGAGTATTTCTAGAGAAGTATCAAACCTGAAGGTTGACTTTGGAAAACTCCTCACATTTGCAGAAACTAAATTCCAGAGAAATCCATTTTATTTTAAATAAATAAACTTCACAATAAAATAGGACAAAGGAAAAAATAAATGCTTATTCAAGTTCTCTAAAAGTCAACTTACTACTGTTCCTAAAGAAAAACACACACCAATCCCCTCTCCTTTTCCTTTAAAGCATTAGCTTTGCCCCTAAATACATTTTGGGATTTGGGTACATTCTGAAGGAACGCTAGCTTAAAATACTGTCAGAAATCTTTTTGTCCAGAAATCTATGGACAAATATAAAAACTGCTGACCATAAGTATAACAAAGTTTTAAAAATATTTTGTAAACTACTACTATGTTCCAATAGGTTATTCCAGTGTACCAGACATTTTCACATACCTGATATTGTTTGATTCTCACAACCATTCTTGTTAGATATTCTTATCCCCATCCCAGAATGAAGGAAAATGAGACCTCAGAGGTTTCATGCAGCATGAGAACCAAGAGCACTGGAGGCAAAGATACTCCATTCCCCCTCTCATTTGTGGTAAAGGAAAAGTTAATTCTCTGGGCCTCAGATTCCCCCTGGAAAAATGATAAAATACCTACTTCACTGGGCTGCTGCAAGCATTAACTGGCTTACCACAATAAGCAAATACATATTAATTATTTTCCTTTCCCTCTTTCCACTCTGGCCAGCCCAATGCTACACTGCTAGTAAATAACAAAATCAGTCTATAAAGCCAGAGCTTTTTCTGCTAACCTCAGCTTCAGAATAATTTTTAAAATTACATTGCTGGTCTAAGATTCTAGATTTCAGAAACACTTTACTTTTGATAAAGTATATAAAAAGGAAGGAAACTATAAATAAGGAGAGCCCACAAGAATAGCTAGAGACATTATTTAAATTAAACGTTTGAATAGTCATAGAATGCCAAAGGTTAAAAGTTCATTACATACATGTACGAACAATCTAAGGTTTGGTACACTGCCATACTTACATGGACTGAATTCAGAGTTAACAGCAACAAAAGAGATTTATTTTTTAGGGTATAAAAGATCATTATTGAGAAATTTTAAAAGTTCTTTTTCAAAGCACCACATTTCTCACTGTTTTAGAATATTTAGGGCAAACCTGGACACATGATAATAAAGCTCACCTGCATCATGATTTTCAGACGGTCCAAAGGGGCAGTGCTTGTTCGAGAGACAGCACCAGCAATGCCTCCTGCCAAAAGCTGCCTCCACCATTGTCCGGATTTTTTTTCATCTTCCGTGAATTCATCTGGAATAGTTAAGCTATCCCCGATGTCAATTCCCTGTTAAAATGAAAAAAAGATCCCCATGCTCCTTAGTTAAAAATATATAATCCCAGAAGACGTTTCTGTTTTAGAGAGAATCACATGTTATTTTACTGTTAATATGAACTTCACTCCCTAGAATTTATACTAAACCAATCTGAGCACAAAGATTATGTCTTCTATTCACAATGAACAATGTACAGTATCAGTTCACAAGAAATGAAAATAAACAGTAATTACAAATATACAAAACCAACAGTTACAACTTTCTTTCATCATAGATTCACAGTACCTTTTCTTCTCTAGGGCTAGGTTAGAATGAAAGGGCAGCATTTTATCAGGTATAGTCAATCTTTTTTACTGCAACCACTTTTCAAAAGGCTAGAAAACCAATTGGTGATGACATCTTTTAAGAAATTAGTTCATCAGTTCTTAAACAATACTTCCTTTATCTCAAATTTATATCCACATTACACTTTATACCATGATGTTTTAAATATGTAAATAAAAATTAAAACTGTGTATGTGAATACCCCTAAACTCATTTTCTACTGTTTACAAAAATATTTTTAGAAATCTGACTTGTCATTTAAAACATGCAATAGATTCCATATAAAATTTAGCCAATGGAGAGGTATTGTTTCAAATCATCACCCCTTCAACCTATTCTACATTACTATAGCTTGAGAGAAACAACTCTATAATAATATTTTTACAATTCTATTATCTAAATTGTTTTGGCATAAAATTTTTTTTACAAGCAAGAGTGCAAGGGGAGGGAGCTATCCTAGTATCCTATGGTAGTAACCCTCTCTTCCTTCATTTTACCATCAATAAAATGGAGATACGATTGTAGTCTCAACTGTTATCAACTACCTTAAAAAATACAGTAAGAATTATGTAAATAAAACTTTACATAGTGTAAAATTTATCTAGGCAACTGAACTACTAGTATATTATTGTATACTCAAAGCTGAGAAGGCACTAATCGCCAACAATTTTATAATGCTTTATGTAAGCTTAGGCATTGTTACTAGTGGCAATGTGAACTCCTGACTTCATTTAATTCATATTTAATTTAGTAAAATCTTAAGTGCATAGAAGATAAGCCCATTAAGAAAAAAGAAAAAGGCCGGGCGCGGTGGCTCCTGCCTGTAATCCCAACACTTTGGGAGGCCAAGGCAGGCGGATTACGAGGTCAGGAGATCGAGACCATCCTGGCTAACACGCTGAAACCCCGTCTGTACTAAAAATACAAAAAATTACCCGGTGTGGTGGCGGGCACCTGTAGTCCCACCTACTGGAGAGGCTGAGGCAGGAGAATGGCGTGAACCCAAGAGGCGGAGGTTGCAGTGAGCTGAGATCTCACCACTGCACTCCAGCCTGGGTGACAGAGTGAGACTAAGTCTCAAAAAAAAAAAAAAAAAAAAAAAACCGCCTTCAGAGAGTTCCCAATGGTTTCAGGAGCAGATTACATAATAATAGAACTTGGTTTACATCAGTATGCATAATATTAATGAAACAATCAAAATTTGAAAGTTTTGTGGAAAACAAACTGGTATGAAATGCTAAGCAGATGAAGCAAAAAGATTCTGTAACCTTTAATGAATATTATAAGTGCCTTAAGCCAGAGAGAAATCTAGGCAATCTGACCAAACAAGGACACAGACCCTTAGCAACCATGAGGTGCTGAGATTATTTGGACAATACGCCTGTAATCCCAGCACTTTGGGAGGCCGAGGTGGGTGGATCACGAGGTTAGGAGATCGAGACCATCCTGGCTAACATGGTGAAACCCCGTCTCTACTAAAAAATACAAAAACTTAGCCAGGCGTGGTGGTGAGCACCTGTAATCCCAGCTACTCGGGAGGCTGAGGCAGGAGAATGGCGTGAACCCGTGAGGCGGAGCTTGCAGTGAACTGAGATCGCTCCACTGCACCAACCTGGGCGACAGAGCAAGACTCCGTCTCAAAAAAAAAAAAAAAAAAAAAAGTAAAAGGCTACAACTTTTACACTTCCCTATGGCAGAATACTTAAATGCCAATAAAGGCTGGACAGCTTATTCATCAAGGTGGTACTTCTTCCAAGTTTTCAGAATGGACATTTATGCAGTCTTGGGGTTTTTTGTTTTTGTTTTTAAATAACTCTATAAATCTATGCCTAATAGAATAAACAGAACTCTATAGGTTAAGGAGCTCCTGGGACTCAGGTATCCTGGCCCATAAGTGTTACAGAGTGTTCTTGGTTGATAACTGTACCTATGGTTTATAGCTCCAAATAAGTATAAATACATAAAGTATACTTACTGTAGAATGTTTCCAGAAACGGATAATTTCCTCAATGTCTGTAACAGGATTAAATAAGAAATAGTCTCTCCATTCATTCCAGTCCACGGTCATTGTCCCATCAGCATCAATGCTGAAATTTTTAAAAAACATCAAAGAACAAAACTAAATTGATAAATAAAACTAACAATACTGGCCACTTTACAGAATGACAGTTTCTTTTCTAACATAAAATTCTTATTAAATTAAAAAACCCCATCCACAAATATAGGTTGTTGGAAATGGCAGCAAGTATTTTATGGTCCTGTTAGATAGTTTTAATTATCTGGATAAAAATGGGTCCCCAAATTACAGCCAGCTCACCAAAGACTACTTTCAGCACTCTGTCAAACTCTGCCAAAGAGCTACAAAACACAAAAACTGAAAGATAAAATATTGAAAGGTGGTAATGAATAGATTCACTATCCATTTTTTCATGCACTTAGTGGATCATGAAGATAATTCTTAATGTTCTATTGCAACATTTGAATGTAGTTTTGAAATATACTCAAAACATGTTATCAATTTCCTCCAAGTTAGGAAAATTAAAAAATTAACAGTGATTGTAAAAAATCAAACTCTCAGTGACTGTGCCTTTGAGTCTTAAGAAATCCTGGCACCTCATTTTCAATCTTAAAATTAACATATTTTAATCTTAAATATTTATCATTAATATTTGGCTTGTTTTACAAGTTTCTTGGTAATTAATGTCATTTGTATCTGTTTTCTCCTAAGAGAAATTCCAAATGTGCCAGGATTTTGACTGTTTTATTCCCTTCTTTGGGCCACCTCTTACAGCGGCTGACACAAAGAAGGTGCTCATTTATTTATTGAATTAATGGATGTCTCTAAAAAAAAAGCTTTGATGCATCCTACAAATTTTATTCTATAATTGGTATGAAAATGATGCAAAAGGATCGCAGTCAAATAAAATGCAATTTTCAGATATTCATTGTTGTGTTTTCTAGTGTCACTTTTTATTTTGACCTGCACGTGGGAAATTACACTTAAACTTTCACTTGTCCCAGCACAGAGGTATATCTGCATGAGAGTCCTAGTCACTACTTATGTTTATAGTATTACTCTGGGTTGCAATATTTATAGCTTTATTTATATCACTATTTTCTATTTTAATGTAATTGTTTGTTGCCTGACCCCACCACCCAACCTCCCACACATAAGCATCCTGTACAAGGCAAGGATTTTTTTTTAATTTCATTCAAAGTTATAACCAAGGTTTCTAAAACAGTGCCTGCCACCAAGTATTTATTGAATAAATGAATTACAAACTCTGTAGCTCAAAACCACAGAACATTTAGTGTATTGACAAACTTCTTAGATAAGATAGTCTTGCTGTGGGTATAATTTGCATTTCCCTTCAAATCACTAAAGATGTTGAGCATCTCTTACCATATTCATTTGCTATTGCTGTTTCTTCCATGTGAAATATGCTGTTCATGTCTTTGCACATTTTTCTAACAGGTTGTATATCTTTTTCTCATTTATGTAGTTCTTTATATCGTTCATTCTAATCTTTCAAGTTATAAGTTGGCAAATACCTTCTCTTTGTCTTTCCACTCTATGCTGTCCAAGTACAGATGCTCTTGATTTTAATGCAGCTGAATTTAATCTTTTTAAAGCAGTTGAATTCAGTCTTTTCATTTCTGTGTATGGCTTTTGGTGTCTTCTTTTTAAAATAAATTCTTCCCTACACTGAGATAAAGATATTTCTTCCCCACCACCTCAAGCTGTTATAGTTTAACTTTCACGTTTAGGTTGATGTTTGTGTACGGTAAGAGGCAGGTATCCCAATTTCCTGTTTGTCTGCATGAGCATGAGCATGAGCATCATCTATTGCATACACTCCCCTTTTCCCAAAGTTTTGCGAAGCTACTTCTTTCATGTGACAAATCCAAAATATGGATGGGTCTGTTTCTGGGCTCTCTATTATGTTCCACTTGTTAATTTGTCTGTTTCTGTAGAAATAGCACTGACTTGGTTATGGCTTAGTAACAACCCTTGGTATCTGATAGGGCAGGCCCCTGGCTCCTTACAGTTCTTCAGGAATATCCTGGATATTCTTAGGCCTTTGCTCTTTGATACAAATTTGAGACTCAGCTTGACAAGTTCCTCAAAAACAACCATGTGGGTTTTTTTCAACGGCATTGGATCTCTATTACCAATTTGGAGAGAAGATACATCTTTTCTATACTGAGTCTTCTTTAATGTCTTCTAATAAATTTCGTTAAGTTGCTCTTATAAATGCATTGATTGTGGTATATTTTTTAATACAGCTTATTCAGTTTGCTAATATTTTCTTTAAATTTTACATCTAAGTCATAGATATCTTGGCCTATACTTTCGCTGTTTCATATACTGTCTTCTTGTGGTGTTATAATGATCTAGAAAGGATACAATAGTGTACTTCTACACCCTGGAAATGTTTGTACATCTGTTCTTTAATCATTTGCAAGAACCATCTGGGGCTAACGTTTTGTTTATGACAACATTTTAAATTACTGATCCAATCTCTTCAATTGCTTAGGTACTATCAGCTATTTCTTCTTGATTCAGTCCCAGTAAGTTCAAATTCATCTACTTTTTCTGTTTTCAAATTTATTGGCATTAATAATTCATAATATTTTATTAGTTTTTTAAAAGTTCTTATGTGTCTCATTGTAACTGAACATGATTTACTTACATCTCATTTCTCTTTTTTCTTCATCAATCTTTCCAGAGGTTTGCCTTTTCCAACAAACAGCTTCTGGCTTTGTTGATCCTGTTATTGCATCTTTGCTATATATTCTTTATTACCTCCTTCCTCCTACCTTCTTTGAGATTATTCCAGTTTCTCTCCCCTAACTTAGCACATTAATTTTCAGACTTAATTATTTTCTAATGAAAGCTTTCAGACTATAAAATTCCTACAAGTGCCATCTTAGAAATATTCCATAAGTTTTAATGTTTTCAAGTCAATGTGTCCTTGAATTTCCACTTATGATTTCCTTTGACCCATAAGTTGAGAAGTATATATCACATTTTAAAATATTGGCATTTTATAATTTATGTCTGTAATTGACTTCTACTTTAACACACAGTGGTCAGAGGAAGCAGTTGTTGTGATACCAGTTCTTTGAAATGTGTTGAACCTGGCTTTACCGCCTACTATGAAATCAATTTTTATACATGTTCCATATGTACCTAAGAAAAAACATTTTTTCTAATTTTTTGATGCAAGGTCCTATTACATGCCCATTAAATCAAGCTTATGTATTTAAAATTTTTTGTCTTCATTAAAGTTTTTCTCTGCTTGACCTATCAAATACAGGAAGAACTGTGTTAAAATCCCTCACCACTGTGATGGATTTGCCAATTTATCCCCAGAATTTTATCAACCAGCTTAAAAATTTTATATCCTCATACTGAATTTTAAAATGTGGTGACACTCTATTTTTACTAATGTTTTTACTATATAATCTATTATGAATAGATTATTAATAATAATATTAAAATAGTTGATATTAACATAGCTATCCCATAGCTGATATTAACATAGCTACCCCAGCTTTTTTTGGTTAGTAGGACTTTATTTTACTTGTTCTTTCATCTGACAATCTCTACCTTCTGACAAAACTTACATTAATTTTTATTAATTGAAGACTAAACTGAGAAAGTTCTAACTGATCAAAAGGTGATTATCTTCTAACTTACTCATCACCCACCTCAAACCCTCATGGAAACAGGGTAAGAACTTTATTTAGCTTGCCCCATTTGAGAATGGAAATGAAGGGAAATCATGCCCCAACATTATTGCAGGGCACATTTTAGTGGAGTTTTACTGCACTTGAATTTATTTCTCACATCTTACCTATTGCTTTCTAATCATCTCTTTCTTTCTATGTTTTTCCCTCTCCTCTCTCCTCTTCATTGGATTGTTTGAATCTTATGTTTTTGTATTTATTTTCTTATTCCATTTCTTTCCTCCCTGGTTTTGAAGTTACATACTCAACTAATATAGTTTCAATCGTTTACCTTGAAATTTTACCACATACGTATAAAAGTCTAAAGTTAATGTTTGACCCCACCATCCTAAATAAGGTAACAATTTTAGAACAGTTTAAAACAAATCATCCCTTCCCCTCTTAACTTACACACTATTATTGTCTAGTATCGTAGTTGTCCTTTTTCTTAAAACCCACAAATGGGTCATTACTATCGCATCCATGGCTGTTTCCAACAGACTACTGAAATAATCCACAGACTTCTAGCTAAGAGGTGGCCCACTATGGTCTAGAGAGTACCAAGAAACATTGTGTGACCCATTCCCTATATATGCTGCTTCCAGGACTGTATATGCCCTTTCCCCTACCTACCTTCAACTCACCCTTTTCAGTAGCATAATTCTACTCATTCTTTAACATATTCTTCAGTATTTTCTGAGAGTCCATTATTGTAATGTGGTAGACATAGAACTGTTAACCAGATACACATGGTCTGTGCCCTCAGTGGGAACAACAAGCACTAAACAAAAGCAAGCAATACCCAATATTCACTGAGCATTTGCCAGGCATTGTTCTAAGTACGTCCCATGTTAACTCATTTAATCCTTAAAACAAACCCACGTATTTACTATACTCTCCATTTTACAAAGAGAGGTTAAGGATTTTGTTATAGTCACAAGGCTAGTAAGTAGTGTACAATTAAGAGTTTCAACCCAGGCATTTTAATTCCAAACTGTACTCCTAACCACTGAGATACACAAATAAGTCAATGATTACAAACCATAAGAGCCATGAAGCAGAGAAACAAGTTGCATAGACAAAGAATAACTGGAGTGAAGGGTTCCCAGGTTCTGAATAATTGTGGAGAAAGAAACCTAAAGATATGAAAATGAGAGGAAATGGGAAATGAGATGGAGATGAAAGCCTAAAAGAAAAATGAGAGCAGAAGACAATTATGATGTATGTGAAACCCGTTTCAGAGGGAATGCCTGCTTCAGCTACTTCATATCTACAGCTTCTACTGAACAGGTGTAAGTAGGAAGCTATATTTCAACCCAGTGACTCCTCTCTCACTGTGATGACCCAGTCACAG